TATCCCAACCATGTCATCTATCTGTACTGGTCCAATTCATTAAACAAAGGCATTGAACAGTCAACATCTTACTTCATTAAATTGTATTTAGAAGCAGTCCTCATGGAAAAGGAGGAAAAAAACCCACCATACAAACCCTTTTCATTGTTCTGGTTTCATTTTTGGAATAAAAAGCAATTTTAAGATTGGAAGGATGAAGCTTACTTTTCAAATACTCTGTACAGCTTTTGCTAGTCATTTTCTTCCCTTTTCTCTTTTCTACCTTCTTTCACAGATAAAACTGGGAAATAACTGTAAAGTAGATGTGTGTGTCTGTTCCAGGAAGCATGTCCTTGACTCCCTTAGGCCTCTTGACCTTCTCTGATACACTTATCAGACATGAGATGAACTCACTCTTGTTTCTATTTAAACAGGCAAGATCGGCTTTATTTAGAAAGCCATCTGATAAAAATGGGCAAATTCATAAGCGCTGCAAGTTGTTTTGGAAGCCATGTCCCAGAGTGGCACGAGGAGAAAATGTCCTAGTGAGGGACAGTTCTCTGAGTGAGTCGTGGCCTCATTTGCTGCTAAAGGGTTGGTATATGCTGGGGAGCCCTCAAGTTAGCTCAGAGATGGCTGGTAAAACGAGACTAGAAGGTAGGAAGTGTTATGCAAATGACAGGTTCTACTGCTCCCAGACAGCTGCCTTGATGAAACATGAAAACACTTCTGCTCTTGCTTGCAGCAGGTGACTCTAAGAAATTAGTTCTTCAAACTCGTATATTTACAACTATAGAATCAAGTTTTCTGTCCTAGACTTTTTACTTACCTTCCTTTTTTAATGGTAGATTGCAAGGTAGGATCACAAACATATAAAGCCTCACTGAAAGCACCGGTGGCAAGTCTGTCTAGAATTGACACAAGCATCTTCTCCTTTATCAGACAGTTTTAACATTTGGGAAGGATGTTTCATCTATCCTGGAAAACTGCACTGAAGAATCTGTTGATTTCATTAAAACACAAGATTCACAGGTTATGAGGCCAGAAAGAGCCATTATGATAATCTAGGCTAATTTGCTATATAATTAATTCCTGTCTCACTATGTCTTTTAGAGAAAACAAGACACTATTTTAATTTAAAGTTTGCCAGTAGCAGAGAACACACCATAACCTGTAGTAAATTATTTCAATAGCAAATTACCCTCATGTAAAAATAAGTCATAACATTTTAAAATATGAATTTCTCTAACTTCAATTTCTAGTCCCCGGATCCTATTATTCCCTTGTCACATGGATTGAAGAGTCCTCTCTTGCCAAATTCCATTTTCTGCACAGGTACTCGTAGATTGTAATCGAATCACCCTTTAACATCTGCCTATTAAACAGACTGAATTTTAATGTTCTTCACTATGGGACATGCATTCCAGCCATTTAATTATATTCCCTTTTCTCATTCTTGAACCTTAGGTTTAACAATTAAACTGCAGATATCAGAAGTTGCCTTAGAGTTTCATTGCCCAAGCCAGAAATGCTGTTGTCCCTCTATTGCTGCTCGGGATTCACCTTGGTTTTACACCCAAGGATTATTTATATCGTTTTGTTTATAGTGCTGAGAGTTCTGGTGTATGTGCATTATACATCAAGATCTTGAAGCTCAAATGTGGCTGTCAATAATACTTTAAGTCAGCTATGTGAACACTTGTACTTTTTCTTTAAGCACAAATGCTATTTAAATTTCTCAAGATAATGTAGAACAATGAACACTTGAATTAACAGAGATTGAGGTGGATCTATTTCTCTGAAAAGATTGAATTCGGAACTCTTATATCTATTCAACATCCTTTCTCCCCTCTTCCCTAAATCTTCCTTTGTGCTTGCTTTCTTGATCCTTTCTTTCAAACTTGTTCTCGGCTATCCTCCGTTGTTAATGACTTCTATCTCAATGATTCTCCAGCTGTGGTACTGGTATGACTAATGAAATACAAGGCAGTCTGCAGCAAGCCCCACATAAACCCAGAGGCAGGCCCGCTGCATTTCCCCAGAAGAGGTGGAAATTGTTCCAGAGCTATCAAATACATGAAAGAGGGAGATGTAACCTGTATGTAGCTCAGCTGAGAGCTGGAAGCTACTTACACGTGTGTGACTGTACTCCTTCTACCAACAACCCACAGAGGTTGCTGAAAGCACATCACCGAGTTGTAGCTAGATACAACCCAGCACCAGTCATCAATCATAAAGAGTATATTCTGCTACCCTTCTGCTCCTCTTATATGTGGAAAGGCTGAGTCAAGATACACTTTAGAGGGGTGTTGGTTTGAGCAACAGCTAGTAGTATCCTATTCTCATATGTTAGCGTCACTCAACTCACAGTTCATTCAAGCCTGGCACTTGCCTACCATACTGGTGTGAAACGAAAATGCAGCATTGTGCCGAAGTCGCACCAGTCAGGGAGTCCCGTATGTACATATGCAGAAGAACTCTGCCGATGGGAACCCATTTCCAGTTTTCTCTCTTTCTCATGCTGTCCCTGCAGTAGGACAGAGAGTACAGTGTGCATAACCTACTATACACATAGATTCTTTAAGATACAAAAAAAGCCTTAATTGGCCTGAGGAGCAGTCAATTCGTTTACTCAAATTTTTGCCTTTAGTACTGGTAGGTGCAAATGCTGTTTAGGGAGAGCATGTGAGCATGGCTACTATCAGTGGTGCAGTCCCCTTACACTGGCACAGCATCCACTACTATTGGATATATATAGGATTATTAAAAGGTCCATCCCTTCCTTTTCCGTTTAATATCAATTTATGTCAATTTATCTTTCTGGTTCTTTTTGAAAATACTGATGCTCTCTGCTTCCATGACCTCCTGTGGCAGCAAATTCCAGAGGTTCAATACCCACTATGTAAAGAAGTATTTCTAGCCTTTAAAATCCATTTTAAACTGATACCCTACAAGTCTCAGTGTGTGCCTCTAGTTATATTATTGCTGGATTTGGCAAAAAGGGATTCTACACTAACCTTCTCCATCTTCTGTAAATTTCAACCATGTTTTTCCTCAGTCCTTTCTCTGTATAAGAGCACTGGCTTTTCCAGACTGTCCTCATTATGCATCCTGCTCTATCCTGTTAATTGTTCTATGTATTTCTCTCTATACCTTCAGCTCGTCTGTTTCCTTGAGATGCAGAGACAGGACTGTATCCAGTGCTCAGAGCTAGTGTCTGGCTGAGGTATGCCTTGTCTCGCTGTCTGGCAAGAGGGGGAGGCTGTAATGCACAGCCCTGCTGAGTCACTGGAAGAAGGCGTATGATCTGTCTAGTGAGAGCATTTGACATGGTTAATCCATAGAATGAAAATACTACAGTCCCACAAATTGAAAATATATTATATTCCTGTTGCAGATATTAATAGACTTGATGTGTTTGAAGTCTGTGCGAGGGCAGAGCGCTTTATTGGGAACTGGCGTAAAACAAGCTATTGTGGGTCAATACTGTCCTCTGCTGGGAGGAACTACAGCTTGGTGCCATGACTTCAAATGGGAATGGCGGCTCCTTTCACTCTGATGTGAGGTGGTTGCCTTTGCAACGGAAAAATCTGATGCTGTGCTGGCTGCACTGATGACATTCTGCTTTAATGCTTAGTGAAAGCTGGAAATTATTTGTTTGTTACAAAGGTGTTGAATTCTGATTTTATTTATATTTCATCCTGAGGTCACCTAATTTAGAAGCTTATCCCTTGCTCTCTCTTGTTTGCCTTTTAATATTTACTGCACACTCATTTCTCTGACTTGCCTGTTCTATTTGTAGAATTAACAATGCATATCTCCTTTCCTTTCTCTTTTCATAGCAAATTGCTGACAACTCATCCTGCTAGCGTTTTGAAAGCAGAAATCATGTGTGTGTGCATATATGCTGAACGTAATAGAAACAAAGTATTTAAAAATAATAGCTCCTTAGAAGAAATCAGTCTTCAGTAGTGTCACGGAACATTAATTCAGTCAAAATTGTGCTAGATGCAGAAATGCTTTTGCTTGATGTATGTTCCAACTCTGGATTTAGGAAACTCAGAAAGTGATTGAGAAGATGTATAGTTTACGCATATTACATTTTTTTGCCTTCTCCAGTTCCTGCCTCTACAAGAATGGCACCGGGCAGAGAGGAGTCTTCTTTGCAAAGAATTTATTCTCTACCCGTGAGAAAGAGGAGGGCAGATTTGGACTCCTCAGCAGATCAGGAGTGCTTAGGAGTGCTTGTCTGTTTGGCAGTTGGGTAATTTCCATCCACATGGCAACAAGGAGTCCAGAGTTCTGGTCCTTAATCCAGAGGGAGTAAGAGTCAAGGCACTGAATATGTATAGGCTTCTCTGTGTTAGCACAGAGAGCATAGGTTTCATGAAGCGAGCGTAAGCTATGTGGATATCTCCATGGTGAGTTTGTACCTGTATCAGTCTAAAACTTCAGTCAGAGAAATTTCAAGTCTGTTTATTTTTTTCTCGTAGCTCTTGAGGAGCCACAGGGCAATCATCAACGGTTAACAGCAACTTGCTTTAAATTTTTTTGCGTCTCTCTCCTCATAGTTAAGTGGGCTTATAGGAATAATAGAGAAATTACAGTGGTGGTACAGTGTTCCCTGCTGTGGCTAGCAGAGATGGACATGTTATATACTCTGTATGGGATTTATGCAGATATGACAGCATGATACCAGACGCACACTGTATTTTATGTACAAAAGCTTTTACACTAGAGCGGGCCTGTGGTAGAGTTGATTGTTCTCACTGTCCTTCAGTTAAATGTTCTCTTCTATCTGCTTCTCTGATCTATAGTCGTCACACAGTACCCATCGCTGTCACTTCTATACACACTCCCGGTTGTGCTCTCTCCCTTCTCATCATGTCAGACTCCTGCATGGGCTCCTTTCTGCTCTCCCCTTCCTTTTGAGAGAAGTTTATCTCCCATGGCTGAAAGTAATTGGGGTATTTGTACTGTATGTAGGATTGATGTATGATATTTTTCCTTGTGTCTGGCAGGTTGTTTATAAGAATAATGACATCCGTCTGGAGCTGTCTCGCTTGGCACGAATTGGTGATACTAAGATGAAGATCTACGGGGAAGTGAAATTCGTCTGTGAGAATGTGGCTACACTGGATCCCATCAGCTTTGAGACACCTGAGGCCTATATTAGCCTGCCTAAATGGAATACCAAAAGGATGGGCTCCATCTCATTTGATTTCCGAACCACTGAACCCAATGGACTGATCCTTTTCACCCATGGCAAGCCTCAGGAGAGGAAAGATGCCAGGAGCCAGAAGAATACAAAGGTAGATTTCTTTGCAGTTGAGCTTCTAGATGGGAACCTCTACTTGCTGCTGGATATGGGCTCTGGGACCATAAAAGTCAAAGCCACCCAGAAGAAAGCCAATGATGGAGAGTGGTATCATGTGGATATTCAACGAGATGGAAGATCAGGTAGAGTGATGACTTTTTCTTGAGTAGATTCACCTTTCAAATCCAGACCTAGGGCTGTGTATTCTTTCTCAGAACCTTCAAAACCTGCTAGATATCAGTCAGCTTCTTAGAAGAATTCAGTGATACTCCAGTGACGTCTATTCAGCAAAGCAAAGATGTGAATGGCTAGGTTTTCATTAAACGTCTAGTGTGTCCTTCAGATAACACATCACAGAGGCAGTCTATGAGTATTTTATTCACAATCTTCAGATATTCTGGACCTATCTTTGCAGCTACATGCATAATCATAGTGATGATTTTTTTGGTAGGAAATCATAAGGGTTAAGATCCTTTAGAACCATGATTATTTAGTTCTTGGTTTGAGAAATTCACGGTGAAAACCAAACAAAAATGTTGCTGTGACCTAATATTGCCATCTTCTCCTGGATCTTGTGTCTGAAGAGCAAAGATCTGGGATCTTGTCATGAGGAAAATAAAAATAATAGGTGCAACCAGTGACAAAATTATGGCAACAAATCAACGTTTTCATCCTATTTTGTTTGTTTCAGTATCTTGTAGTTTTCAGTCAGGTTTCTTTACTCTCTATTGGATGGCAAATTATAGTCTTGAGTATCTCAATCAGCATTCAGTGGATGTTTCTTTTTTTTTACTTGCAGCTTCTTATTTTTAAAAATATGATTTAGTTTATTTCTAATAATATACTTTATGCAATTACTAAGAGATATTTTCTTTGTTTCTAATACTAGATATCAAACTAACATACTTGTGATGTACTCTGAAATTGTGTAAGGAAACAAAATGATCAAATACTGTAACTGCATCTTGAGAATATGTGAACAATTGTACTTGAATTCTTTGTGAACCGTTGGGATCTCAAAGCCTGGCTGTATATCCCTTCAAAGGCAATTTCGCTTACATTTGCAAGTGGATTTGGGATTTGTCCAGATGATAGCTTTACGTCCCTAATTTTATGTTTCCAGTTGCTGAATGTCATCAGTAGACCAAACACAGTGCTACAATTTGCTTCCCTTGAGTTTTCAAAAGAGCTGACTGTTAGATACCATGCAAAGCCTAGCTGTTTGAACAGGTCTTTGCCTGAAGCTAGTTTTTTCTCTGATGATGTGAGGAGTTTCTTTGTATTTGGCTTGGTGCTCTACTAGGGCTTAATATATATTGCTATCTCCTGAAGACATCGATAGGAACATTTTATAAAGGAAGCCATAAATAAGTAAATGGAGCTTTGATTTCTTTAGAATTGCTAAAATTTAATTAACTTCCAAGGGTAAACTCAATTAGTTGCATTCAGTGCTGCCTTCGGTTTTGCTTGTTCACTTGGGACTGTGTGGTCCCTGGAGAGGCAGCTGCAGAAGAAGAAGCAGAAATTACACTATGCTGTCTGCTAAGGAAGTTTGTAAAAACCTAGGAAGAGGGACACATGTTCATTTGGACTAGGGAGGTGTGACAGATGGCATTGCTAATTGGTGGATGAGACTGTAGGACTGACTTGTTTGTGGCTCAGGGGGGAGGTTTGTGGTCTTCTGGACACTGATTAGAGATAACAGATTTTGAATTAAAAGCACTTTGCTCAGCCAGAATGAACAGATTTGTACATTCTTGTCTTCTTTTTCTTTTTTAAAAAAATGTTTTCTCCCAGTGACAAGTACTGAGTTAATGGTCCTAGTGACTGATGCCTCATCTCCCCAGAAAACTGGGATACTGACATTGATTTATTCACACCATACCTTTAGCAAGCATCAACCACTCTTATCCAGTGGTACTTTTGGTTCTTGTGAGAAAGAAGTTCTCTTGTTTTGTTACCTGGATTTTCTCCCATGTGTGGGCCAGGGAACAATTACACCTTGTAGATTATTATTTTTATTTTATTTTTTTGTGTTTTGTTTTATTTTATTTTAATTTTTATGTGGGTGCCCGTCATCTAGAAACTGAACTGAAATAATGAACTTAATGTAAGCTACAAAACAGCCTTTTGGGTTTAATGAGCTACGATCCTAGGTGTTCTGATTCTCATTACTAACGCAGCCAAATCTTTATTATGTGCCATCTCTCCCCTCCTTCTTCTTTCCATTTCTCTAACAGTCCAAAATGTCAGACTCTGCTGAGCTTAGTGAAATAACGTAAAAATCCAAACATTCACTATTGCAGTGTACTAAGGCAGGAGTGCAAATGCTGGGGAAGCATGACAGTTGTGCTCAAATAACCCCTGGCACCTCTAGTACCTTTAGGCTTTGTGTATCCTCTGGTCTGTGTTGTCTGCCAGAGCAACAAGAGCTGCTTTTTCACTCTAGTCTGTAACAGAAGCTGGTGGTATGGACGTGGACACCTAGTGTCCTGTAACCTTTTTGTGCTTGGGGAAAGCTCCTAAAAAGTGTCTGCAAAAGCTGTCAAAATTTCTAGCTGGGGAACACTGAGCCTGTTACATAAGAAAGCGTTTTCAGCTGGTCACTGGCTACAAAACACGTTGTTGTCTCACCCATTCAGACACTAGAAATCTTGCTGGAAGATTTGGTCTCTGGTTGCATGAGTGCACTGGTTTGTGTACCAGCTCTGCCCTCAGTGACTGTGGTCTTTTGGTCTGTTTGTTCTTTAGCCCTGCAGGAGAAGGACTGGGAAGGAGATGCTTAGATGCTTCTGATTTCTCAAGACAGGATTTGGTCTACCTAAATAGAGTTGCAAACATTGCATTTGAAAGGGAAAAAAAAAAAAGGATGTCAGATCATGTGACTGCTCTTTCTTAGGGTCAAGTCAGAATTTCTCCATCTCAGCAGCTTGGTCTTAAAAGTGCTGTGCATCTGAGCTAGTACCATCTCATTACAGGAATAACTGCAGGGAAAAAACACTGGCAGAGAACTTAGGCTGCTGTCTAGCCTATTTCTCTTCATCTCACTTGCTTTCTTCAGGCTTTACACTTCTTGGTATCCTGTATTTCTTTGCTTTTGGGAGATCTCTTAACCTTCATAGCTTTTGCAGATGGTGTTTGTTTTCTCCATAGTAGCAGCTGTCAGTATTTTGGTTTGCTCTAGTCCTTTGAGTAATATGTACTTCACATGCTGCTTTTGAGGAGTAACAGCAGAGATGTTGGAAGGGTGGCTGTGATCCTGTGGCTCCGTGACACGCTGCATTTACGACTGTAGATGTGTTGCCACATTTCTATTTTCCTTCTTCATGAAAGGGAAAACGTCTGCAGTGCTGCAGCTTGTTTTTACAAAATGATTCATCAAATAAATGTGTTTCTCTTTGAGCCTTTAATTTGTAACACCTCCGTTGCTTCTGGCACTCTGCTGCCTCTGACATTATTCCTAAATTATTACTGAACATCACACACTTGAAATACCTTGTGTCTGTGTCATACTTGCTGTTCTCTAAGATGACACCTATTACAACTGAAGAAAAAGCATGTGTACGTATCTGCACTTTCTCACAGAAACACAAAATAGAGCTAACTCTATTAACTAAACTCTCTCACCTTATCATAGGGGGGTGAATGATAAAACTGGAATGATATGGAATTAATCTTAAATCTTGGATAGCTGTCTCTGAGGACACACTATCTTAATGACAAGACAGTTGGACGCGATGATTTATAGCTGGGGAGAGAGAATTGCTGATGCTTAGCTGAGTGTCTGGTGGGCAGATGTCCCTATCGTAAAAGCTCTTCTGAAAAGTAGGTGGCTCTGGGATGTAAGAGACTTGCATTATATTCCCTGTTTCCTTCTGGGTGCACTGCCTGGCCTTAAACAAGTCACTTCGCTTCTCAGGACCTATTTCATGTGTTCTGATGTGTTCATGTGTTTCATGTGTTCTGTGCTTCCGATTATGTATTTAATTTTTTGAAGTATATAGGAATGACCTAAGTGCAGTATCCCCACATTTTGCTTGGAGCATATGGAAGCCACTACAATTTTGATAATAACTCTTCTTCAAGAGTTATTATATTCTTCTCAACCTCAATTTTCCTGTTTGTAAAATGAAAGTTGGAATACTTAACTTTCTTTGTAAAACCGTAGAGTAATTTAATTTGGAACAAACTTCTGGAGATTTCTAACCTAGACTCTACTGAAATCTAGGCTTTCTTCAGGGTTGTGTCCAGCTGTGTTTTGAGCTGGAGTTTCCCTTGCTGTGGTCAGTGTTTCTTGTCACTGCAAGTGCACACTGCTCACTCGTGTTCAAATTGTTGTCTGCCACATCCCCAGGTCCTTTTCTGCAGAGTTTCTTCTTAGCCAGCTGGTCTCTAGCCTGTACTTATGTGTGAGGTTATTCTGCACCAGGTGTGGGACTTTGTTTATTGTTGCTGATTTTCAGCAAACATTTCTATCACTCCTTTGCCTCACCTTGTAAAGGTTTCTCAGAATGGTAGCCCTGTGCTTCCTTCAGTGTGTCAACAATTCTCCCCACTTTGGATATCCTCTACAGCCTTGATGAGGGCCTATTTAGTTCCATCATCAAGGGCCAACTTTGGAGGTAGTGATGTAGTGTTTTCTGGAAAAGCTATGTAGTGTGAATTAATATGCTTTTACTTATTTTTTTCTCTCCACTCCTGATACCATCCTACGCTTTTATGTTCTTAGCAAGTCATTGCTTTGCTGAATGGATACCATTGAATAACGCTCAGTTTTTACATGTTATTATTTAGCTATTGCATTGTTATTCTTGTGGACATAAAATGCAAGCTGGGGTACAGACACGTGATGATCAGTCACTGTATGGAAGTGCTTATGGCCTGTGGTTCAAGAGGAGAGGGAGCTGTGCGAGAGCCACTGTCTCTGTTCAGAGTGTGTTTGGGCAGGAAGGGATATTCGCTCTCCTGTGCTGAACCTTAAACCTCACTCAGTTTTTGGAAAAAAATAAACTAACCTGAGACCGTAAGTGAAAGTGTTCGTGTCTCCTTATCCTCCTCATTTAGGTACTATATCAGTGAACAGCAGACGCACCCCATTCACCGCTAGTGGGGAGAGCGAGATCCTGGATCTGGAAGGCGACATGTACCTCGGTGGGCTGCCCGAGAACCGGGCAGGACTCATCCTTCCCACAGAGCTCTGGACAGCGATGCTGAACTACGGCTACGTCGGCTGTATCCGAGACTTGTTCATCGATGGAAGAAGCAAGAACATCCGGCAGCTGGCAGAGGCACAGAATGCCGCAGGAGTCAAGTCCTCCTGCTCCCGCCTCAGCACGAAGCAGTGCGACAGCTACCCGTGTAAGAATAACGCCGTCTGCAAGGATGGCTGGAACCGCTTCATCTGTGACTGCACTGGCACTGGCTATTGGGGTAGAACATGTGAGCGAGGTAAGCTGGGTTTTCTGACTTCACAGATGGAGGTGTGCATGAGGACTAGAACAAAATCCAGTGTTTCCATGAGACTTTTCCCTGCCATTGATCTTCCCAGTGCCTTAGTATCCTGGTGTGGTCTCCACACTAGGAAAGCTTTCTTTCTCATTGTTTCCTTCATGTCTTTTCCATCTTCATTTCATGAGCTTATCTTCTTCATCTGCCACTTCAGTCCCTAAGCCTTCTGAAGACCTTGTCTTCAGGTTCCAGAGTTTCTTCAGCTGAGTATGATTTGTCTGGTAAGGCAGAAAATGCTGCTGCATGTGAACTCTCAGGCAAATTACTGGAAACAGTACGAGTGTGAACTTAGGTCACAGAGATTTTTCTCGCATAGAAAAGGTGATGTATCCCAGTTCTGTGTAGTCTTCCTCTTTTTTTACATGGCAGGATTTCCTTTATGGCTGTGAATCGGTAAAGTCAGCTAATGAGAGAGTGTTAAGAGCAACACGTCTCCAACTTCACCTCTGATAAGGCAAATATGTAGGAGATTATGGGAGATTCTCTGCATCTTATTCTTCCTCATTCTGACTGGTTTAAAGACATGATTGCAGTTAAGAACAAAAGTAATGCTAGTACAGGCAGGAAAAATGTACATGTTCTAGGCTACATGGAAAGGGATTTACTGATATAAGATATCTGAACTGTTATGTTTCTCAAATATTAGGTCATTCGATTAATTGTTTTTATCCTTATTGTACTGGTGCCCCCCTCAGAATATGGTAGGTGAGTTGTTTTTTTTTTTTAAAAGATGGGGCTAAGATCACTTAGAAGAGAAAATACTCCCTAAAGGATGGGGGTTTTTTATATTGAAACCTTTCTGATAATATTTGGCCATTAGCACTGCATTCTAGCTGGACTGTACTCACAGTACACCTGAGAATTAACCATAAACCATTAGCAGAGTCTTAGGGCTTTCCGCTCCTTCTTTCTGTGATCTTACTTGATACCATAGGTGATCCTCCTCTGGCAGGGGAGTTGGGCTAGATGATTTTTTGAGGTCCCTTCCAACCCCTAACATTCTGTGATTATGTGATTCTGTGACCATTGCCTAATGGTTATAGCATGTGCCTTAGTATTGGAAATTTGGCTATTTTTGAGTTTTTGCCATAAATATTAGAGAAGATCCCTTCCAGCTCAGTGTCCCCCCTATGCATTTTTTAATATTGATCATAATACCATATCACTTATGAGAAAGAGTATGAAAGTTAGGTAGAGTGCATAAAATATTAGGCAGAATTGAGTTTTGTAATTCATTTATTCTCCAGAGAGCTTTATTCTTTGCAGAAAGTTTTTGCTAATGACCAAAATTCTTTCTATAGACTGGATGGGGATTTTAGGTTTTACAGCACAATATCTATAATCATTCGTAAAGCTTCTCACAGACGTAATTTTTTAGCATGCTGCCCCAGGCAGCAGTAGTAGTTAATTGCCAATGGTCCTTAAAACAGCTGAAGCATCGACACTGTCATCCGTGCTGTGAGGACATGGGTAAAAATGTAGCATTCATGGGCATTAACTGTGGCAATGTCAGCTAGGCTATGCTCTCTTATAAGACTACATTGGATTAGAAGATTCTGGAAAATGTCAGAATTTTTCTCAGTCACACACTTGCAAATTGTTTTGACTGGTTGGCATGTGATTAAGTTTTAGACAGATGTAAAAAGAAGCACTACCATAAATGTGTTGTTTCCCCTCCCCTCCCCTAAACTGCAGTTATCCCTGCCCTTAGTCTTTATTTAGTATTAGGAACTGGCTCAACAACAGAGTTCAGAGGGCTGTGATCAGCGGCACAAAGTCAAGTTGGAGGCCTGTGGCCAGTGGTGTTCCCCAGGGATCAGTACTGGGTCCAGTTTTGTTCAATATCTTCATCAACAACCTGGACGAGGGGACACCCTCAGCAAGTTCGCTGATGATACGAAACTGGCAGGGATGGCTGAAACACCAGACGGCTGTGCTGCCATCCAATGGGATCTGGGCAGGCTGGAGAGCTGGGCAAAGGGGAACCTCATGAAGTTCAGTAAGGACAAGCGTAGAGTCCTGCATCTGGGGAGGAGTAACACCAGGCACCAGTACAGATTAGGGGACATCCTGCTGGAAAGCAGCTCCATGGAGAAAGACCTTGGAGGCCCGGTGGACAGTAAGTTGTCCATGGGACAGCAATGTGCCCCTGTGGCCAGGAGGGCCAATGGGATCCTGGGGTACATTAAGAAAAGTGTGTCTGGCAGGTCTAGGGAGATTCACCTCTCGCTCTACTCTGCCCTGGTGAGACCACACCTGGAATACTGTGTCCAGTTTTGGGCTCCCCAATTCAAGAGAGACAGGGACTTACTGGAGAGAGTCCTGTGGAGAGCTACGAGGATGATTAGGGCACTTGAACATCTCTCCTATGACGAGAGACTGAGAGAACTGGGGCAGTTTCGCATTGAAAGGAGATGGCTGAGGGGGCATCTTATTAAGGTATATAACTATCTGAGAGACGGGTGTCAAGACGAAGGAGACAATCTCTTCTCAGTGGTGCCCAGCAATAGAACAAGGAATAATGGGTTTAAGTTAGAACATAGGAAGTTCCACCTCAGCATGAGGAGAAACTTTTTCACTGTGAGGGTGACAGAGCCCTGGCACAGGCTGCCCAGAGAGGTTGAGGAGTCTCCTTCTCTGGAGACTTTCAAAACCTGCCTGGATGCCATCCTGTGTGGCTGCCCTAGGTGATCCTGCTTTGGCAGGGAGTTTGGACTAGGTGATCTCTCAGGGTTGCTTCTAACCCCTAACATTCTACGATTCTGTGATTCTAAGTGACCAACTTTGTGATTAAGGACTAGAAAGTCCTTAATGAGATTCTGTCTCATGTCTGTCTCCTGGTCCCAGCTCTCAGAACAGAATCTAAAGGTAACCAATTACATGAAGAACAGGATTCATCTCATGTACCTTTACGTAACTGTAGTGTTGGCTTTTACTTCTTTTATTATCAGTGAAAAGAAGTAAATAGGTTAAGAGCATTTTAAATGAGTCTTAAGTCTGGCCTGAGATGCATAACTTGCCGATGCTTTGGCCAGCATCAGAATGAACAAGAAAGATACATGTACGAATGCATGTCTACCAGCATGGGAACCAAGGTACTGATAGATATATGTTAGAATAAGAGTGTATTTAAGGTTAACAACACAATGATATTGTAGTTCAGGGCAACATAAAATATGCATGCAGAGGTCCTAATCCTGAGAACCTCATTTAGTCTGTAACTAGAAGCCACAAACCAGTTTCATGCAAAACATGGCTTTCGTGCCTGAGGTTCCGAGGCAACACAAGAAGCAACTTACAGGGAACAAACATAGACTGGATACATGAAAGAAGTTGCATGGATTAAAATGTATTTGACTTCACAACATGTAGTGTGGTCTTACACAGCGGCCTCACGCTTCTCTGATACAACTACTTGATATCAGACAACTGCATTAGTGCACAGTGGGTTTGCCTCCGTGAACAAAAGTATTGCAGGCTACCAATGATATTTTTCATTTTCATGGTCTGACACCCAAGGGTCTTGACTTCAAGTCCTGACTTCAGCTGGCCTATGATCCAAATACTGTTGGAAAGAGAAAAGTTGGAGACTGGGAAGAGAATCAAAGTGAGAGATGCGGCCATGCCACAGTGACACTTCTGCACAGTGATTAAAGAGCTGATACATGGCCAGAGGTGCCAGGCTGGTGCATAAGGGGAGGAATGAAGAAGGAGCCAGGGTAGTTTTTGTAGTAAGAGGCAGCTACTGGCCCACTTTTCCAATCTACTGTCTGTTATCTGAGAAGGACTGTCTCATTTGCTTTACTTAGTCCTTAGACTACTGGCCTTTTAAAAGAAGAGTGTAACTCTTGGTGTTTGAAGCCCAAGATGCAAGATAGAGGGTTAAGGGGCAGGGAAGCCTAGAATAAAGAATCTTCTGTGTCTGTTGGCTACCAGGAAAATCACTCTATCACAAAGCACATGCTTAACGTTTAGTTAAGGTACTAAGAATACAGAAGACTTATGTACAACTCCAGGGGAAGAAGCTGCACCCAGTGCTCATTGCAGCAAGACAGAGATATCCCACTTGAGTTCTTCTCCTGGGGGCTGGAACCAGTGTGCCTTCCGCTTTGGATTTGCTCTCAGATGAATGATTAACATCCTGAGAAAACCAAGCATTTTTTGGTGCTTTGTGACATACTGTTTGTGAACGGCAATGTACCTCTTGTTGGCAATGCTGATGCTGGGCATGGGGGTACCCATTTTAGTATCTTCCAAGTACCGTTATAGCAATGTTTACTGAGAAGAGTTTAATGATAACACATACCTGCTCATTATGTATGCAATAAATGGAGATTTTGTAAAATTACTGGTAATAAGAAATGCTACAAAATCATTTATTACATGGTTTAAGTGCTTCTTGCTTTGCTGTCTCAAGTACAGGTAGTAGCATAGATTTCTTTTTTACTTTAGTGAAGATGTTGATGATGCTTACATATTTGAAGGTTTCTTTAAAAAACTTCAAATGTGTTGGTGCTTTTTGGACTGTCCAGACAGCAGTTGGTGCTTTTTGGACTGTCTGAGTCTGCAGCGTAATGCTAGATATCTGCTGAGAATAGATTTTCTTATAGGACTGATGGTTCCTAGGAGTGTTGGACACATTTGGAGTAAAGTCTTCACTGCAGTGTTTTAATGGATGGATTATGAGTATTCAAAGCTTTAGGAAAGTCAAAAACCATCAGAGTAATTTTTAGGGTTTCATGAGGTAAGGTGAAAGAAGTTAGAAATCAGGTTTGTTATAAAACTCAGGTTTTCTTTGACTTACTAGTACCAGATAGGTCCCTATTGTACAATTTCCCAAAATGTCTCCAAACTGCAGAAAATAAGATTCCATCTGAATTTAGAAGAAAAGTTACACAATCCGCTCATGCCCATTTTAATTTGTTCCTTGCTACTTTTATAGTAAAATCTCCACTAAACATGGTCTGAGGCATGTTAGATTTTGCTAACAAACAGGGGCGTTTTTGTGTAAAGAAGTTCATTTTCTCACTTGCCATCAGTCTTTTTGTAACACCTCTGGCTGTACTCCCTATGGCTGCTCCAAGCAGCTACTGCTGTGGTTTAAGCTGTACACACAATCCTTCTGCTCAAGAGACACAACTTTCTATGCTTAGCTCCCTTG